GCTCCTTGGGGATGGGCGGCGGCGCTTCGGGAATCTGGATGTTCTCCAAGTCCAGGAGTCTCAGCTTCATTTCCATGCTCAGCAATGTGTCCAGGTCACTTTTAGTCAGCTCACTGGACATGTCCTTGCCCAAGAGAGCATTGAGCCCATCAATCCAGATACAGTACTGTAGGAAAAAAGGGTAATTCACAACTCCAGACATAAATGATAGGTTATGTTGAATCTTTCCATCCATGCAACAGTTACAGATACTCCTATACAGCTCCAAAATAGGAAGCGTGGGAGGCAGTTAACCTATAAGAAAAAAAAACACCAACCCCAAAACAGTGCCCATAGAGATTTCCAATGGAGTTAGAAACCTAGAGGTAGGCATGACCCCCATAGCTCTAGGAGAGGGCCGAGGGTTTCTATTGTAGCATAACAACAGAAAAAACAAAGCTATTTTAAGCATCAGTGTCTTATAGAATGGGGAAAAGGGAATAACTGAAAAAAGAAACTAGCAGTCTAGACAAGGAGAAATTAGTATAGAAATATTTTTTTTTTTTTAAAAGATTCACACTAAACATGAGCAACTTTTTCTAAGAATGAACCTGGTGGGAGAAATCCCACTCACGCCTTTAATGAGAAGCAACTGGTCCTTCTTAATCTCTGAAGTTAATTGCTTTATATTCTACTGCTTAACCACCATGTTTCTTACCTCATATTTATTAGGTGCAATGAAGTTCAAGGTCTCATCAGGATCGTATAATATCGAGAAGGCCAATTCTAACACTTCCTGAATGGAAAAGAATCTTTCACTCATTGACTTAAAAAAAAACATCACAGCACCTGCCTGCTAGCCCAACAAGAGAAGCTGCCTTGTTGCAGCTCAGTGCGCTTTCCCGTATCAGTATTCTAAGCAACTCTGAATAGCCTATAGCACAATCAGACTATGCTCACAGCACCCAGCAGTCACACGAGTACTAGGAAAAGGCCCAGATATGGGATGGGTTTTGTAAATAATACACCTGCAGTGTGGAAGACCATTTGCTCCTGTTGCTTGCTTTCAGAGTCTTCAACTCTACAGCACTGGATATTAATTACAGGCAAAAAGGGAGCAATTACCTTGTTCTGTTTCAGTGCACTTTTCTCCTTCATGTGCGGACAATCCTTCCCTGTTACGATGGCTTTGATGTCTGCCACTGGAACTAACAGTGAAAAAGTGAAATTCACAAACAAGAAATCCTAACCATGGAAGATAGAACTTTGTTTTGCCTTTGCAACTGAGCATTGTTCCTGTTCTTTTAGCTCATTACTACAGCTTTCCAAAACACATTACCAGTAACACATCCCTACAGTTGGCTGTTATAAGAAATATCGAGTGATTCCAAGACTCAGAAGATTCAGGCAAGGACCAAAAGTTGATTGCATCTCAGTCAGGGCTTCAGCCACAGCTCTTTTTCTCTCATCTAGGATGGTACTCCTAACAGCTTTTAGATGGCAGAGCACACAACATTGCACAGTGTGCTCAGAGCAGTAATTGGGACTTACTTTTTTCCTGCAGAGATTCAAAGGTCACTTCCCCCTGGGCATTATCTTCCAGATCTCCATAGTGTAGTACCTTGTGATTCAGAGCCAGGCGACAATACCAAAATCTTTCTGGAACACACATCAAGTAGAGTAAGCTGAGCAAGATCATTCACTTCCAGCCACTACACCAAATCTCTCTACTCCCCCAATTCCTGGGCTGTATACTTAGAAATTCATGTCTGTTCCATCCCAAACTACTGGCTGGAATAGACAGTTCAGGTAATCAGCTTTCCTTTCTGGCAACACACCTGCTGACAGATGAATCCATTAAATGTTATTTGCCTACAGTTCTTCACATGAAAAAACACAGTAGATGCTGTCACCTTACCTTGTCTTCTGCGATTTCCAATTTTTCGAAAGCTACTTCCCTCACAAAGTCTGTTCAGGCGCTGTTGCTTTATCAACTCCAAGATCTCAGGTTGGATTTTCTCTCTCAGCTCCCTGGCAATCAAATATGGAAGAGTAAACAGAAAATGCAGAAAAGAGCAAGCACAAAGGGCAATTGGTTTTGTTAGGCACTTACACAATAGGTGGTGACTGGAAGTCATCTTGGCTCATTCTCTCAGACTGGCGTAGTCGCAGAATCTCAGAATAGCTCAGGCTGCGCAGTTTGCTCTTGAACTGGTCCAAGGAGTTTGGTTTAGAGGGCAGAGCCCGTGTGATCTGTTCCCTCACAACCTGCATAACCTAAAGAGGTTGGGCAGGGAGAAAAGTAAGTCACATTCTTGCTGCTTAAGGGCAGCAGAGAGCCAGGGCACAGCTCAGTCACAGCAAAGAACTGACTGAGAATAACCAGGGCCAGGCATGTCAACATACTAGTGACTTCGAAGAACAAAGAACAACCTCAGGTCATACCAAATACAAGTTGGACCATCCTCCCTTACAGCCCGCATCAGTGCCCTGTCATACCTTCTGTGCCCTACTCTTTAACCAAGTGCACAAGCTGAGTGAACATGTGCTGTTCTGCAAAAGATTCTACAAAAATACCTCTTCTCCACTCTGACCTTATTAAAATCTTCTGCTGTTGCCCTCATTTCTTTCCAGGTCTTGTTCAACAGCTGTATGCAGATGGCAAACAGCTCCTCAAATGCACGGTCATGGGTGAAAAACATGGGGTGATAGTCATTCCGGCCTTCATTGGCTTCATGAAGAAACAGAAACCACAGCCATGTGAGCACATTGCACAAGAGCTACTAAGAGTAACTAAAATCCGCTGCAGTGACAGAAACCTGGTGGTGTACGATACTACTAACTCAGAGATTGAGACAGTTCAATGCTTCATCTCCTCATAGACAGTACATATTGGGAATGGCAACTGTCCCCACGCTTCACCATGCAAGCCTCTGACTCATGTGCCCTTTTCATACTAGTCCCCCCAAATGACTGCTTGCAGTTGTATCCCACTCTCCTCTGCAAGAATTTCTTATAGTGGTTAATTGTCTCAGAATGCTGTTTTGAGACTGTCAGAGCTACTAAAGTTTTCTCAAGTTCATGGTGGTTTCTGGACTGTTTTTTTAATACAGCACCTTGCTGAAGCTTCAGGAAATTGAAGCCTTTCACTTGTATTAGTTTTTCAGAAGAACCAGAGTGCACACAAGATTTCTTACTTTACTTTGATACTGGTACTAGCACTGGGACACTGACAGTGCAACTCCAAGCTCCCCTGTCCTCATATGGCAGAAATGTGATCGAGGTACAAACGCCTGTGAATATTGGTCAGCCTGTAAGCTACTTCCAGAAGCATCAGCCCAGCAACTTGGAAAACTGGAGTAATAAATGGTACTTACGGAGTTCCCCAACTTGCAGGATCTCACAAAGCATCCTGGTAAGCTCAATGGCACTGCGCCCAAAGGGACACTCATGCTTATCTTCTCGACTACTGTTCTCCAAAACAATCTGCAAGAAGAGGATGCAACACACACTAGGAAAAGCTGCTGAAGTGTTGGTATCTGAAAAAAAACAGCAGCTTCGCTTACCCTGATATAGGTGTCCTGATGAAATTTGGCCAAGTAGAGCATGTTGTCCAATGCCAGCATCCCTGGAGGAGTCTGAGTAAAATCCATGGCTGGATTGATGTGATTCTGTGAGAAGAGCGTGTAGAAGGAACCCAAACAAATTAGCTCAAAGAAATTGTGTGAGAAGCTTTTCTGAATGAATTTTACAACTGCCTGTCCATCAAGCACTCCCTCACATCTATCCAAGAGGTAACTTTGGAAACCTGCTGACAACACTATCCAAGCTTTCTAGAAGAGAGGCTGATTCCAAGTTCTTCATAGAATAGGTGTGTATGATAAGTAAATATCTCCAGAGAACATGCCTAATGAGCCCTTGCATTTAACTAATCAGCAAGTTCATAACAATCTTCCCTAGGAGTCTGAATGTAGCTGAATTTCTAAAACACAGATACAGAAGTATGGTAAAGCAAACAGCTATTTCTGTTCCTTATTTCCCCACAACTCTCACAGAGATCGCTTAGATTGCCTTTACAAGCTTCACAGCGAGCACTCTCTCTAGATGCATACAGTGAATCCCAGCATCTTGTAGTCCTTGGTGTACATGGCTTTGCGTTTTTCTGTTCCACTGCCAGGGATGGTGTTACTGTCAGACTCTGCATCAAATGCAATTCTTCTCAACTCAAATATGATGTCTCTCTGCGCCTGAAGGACAGAAGGCAGGGAAATGGTAACATGATCAATCACTAGGGCAGTATTTTCACATAATGCATAGTCCCACCTCTCTCTCCAGAGCTTACACAGTGAATACAGAGAGATGTCAAAGGTCATTAACATTATGTAAGAGGCAATCAATTTCAAAACGGCAAGTTTCAGTATATTGGGTAAAGCAAAATATTTGTTTGCATTTTTGTTTGCCCAGAGAAGTTGTGGATGCCCCATCCCTGGAAGTGTTCAAGGCCAGGTTGGATGAGGCTTTGGACAACCTGGTGTAGTGGAGGATTTCTCTGACCATGGCAGGGGGGTTGGAACTAGATGATTTTTAAGGTCCCTTCCAACTCTAACCATTCTATGATTTTCCTTTAACTGCCCCAAGTTTAATAGTTAAAGGCAATTTCTAGGCATTCATTTAATGCTAAGGCATTTCTCCCTCCAGACTACAATGCATGTAGGAACTAAGTAACAGGCACCTTAAAAATGCCCAGCTTCCTTGTATGCTGCAAGGAAATGGATAAAAGGACGTGCCCTCTACAGAGGTGGAGACAACTCAGTTTGACAGCTCGCATCACACTGGTCAAGAAAGGAATATATGGCTTCCAGTGATCCCTTACATCTCGAGAAGTCCCATAGCATACAGCAGGATAGTCCCTCAAGGACTACAAAGTGAGGGGTGGTTTTGAAACTTTATGCACCATCTACTGCAAGTTCTATGGAGCTAAGGAGCTCAGGAATAAGGTCTCTTGTACATCCTCTTCTATCAGATCTTACTCAGCTCTAATAGTGACCTGATCATTAGGATCCATCTTGGTCATCATCCTCTCTTCCAGGAGATTAAAGGTCAGGACCTGTAGCACGTACAGCTGATGCGCCATTTCTGTTTTAATCGGGCGGTTTCCTCTGATCACATGCTGCAAAATAAAGGATAGGGTAGAAATGAATACAAATAAAACCTGAGGTATTAGCTGTAGGCATATGCCAGGCTGCATGTACATCTCTATACATGAAGATTCGGCTGTTAAACCTCTATATTCCATCAGAAGCATAATGATAATGCTCTATAACAGCAGAAAGAAGCATCCTGATAACTCTGTTTTGAACAAGTGGCTCCAATTTAATCTTTGAAAGAGTCAGTTTTCTGGAAGTGCCCTAAAGGCAGTGGAATTTACACACTGCACAAGTGAAACCTCTACTGAAAGAACGTTAGGAACCACCCTGTCATTTGAGACATACTTACATTCAGGATTATAGACCTCAGGTGCTTCTGGGCAAATGCATTAGCCATTTCCTGTTGTGGAATTTAGAGATGAAATAACATGAGTGAAATATAAACAAAAAGCCCACATTGTGCAGAAAGGAAAGAAAGAAGGAAGCCTATGAATTGGAGATAGCACTGGCACACAACACAGTGCTTTTACTATAGACTGTCAATTTAGCATGGCATCTCACCACAAAGCAAGCATCAAGTTGGGATGCAAGGGTCATCTTTACCATGGCACAACTCCTGGATGGCTCCCCTATAAAACATCATTAATGTGGAGAAAGGCACTAAGATAGTAAAGAACAGAAGAAAATTTATCTTAACATTGGACATCAGGAGATATGGCAGCAGGGAGCCTACTGTGGGTTGCCCAGAAAAGTCTGTCATTTACAAAAGGTTCCTTCAATTAGCATTTCACAACTTTCTATACCTAGGTATGCACACAGATAACCAGGGCTAGAGGATGTAGTTTTCAGGTCTCCTCCCTCTCAAAAACTCTGCCTCTGAAATTTACATTTCCTTTGTCTTGGTTCCTAAAGAGATGTTTACAAGTCAGTTTAAGGACAATTTGCAGAAGCACTTCAGTTTACAAAAATAAAAGGTAAATAATTTCCAGGCTTAAAGGAAAGCTTCTAGTTTCCCTCTTTACTGCATGGCTTCCTTCCCCAGATGAGGAGGGTTTCCCAACCATCAAGTCATGATGACAAACAGTCACAGCAGATGCAAGTATATGCTGCAAACCTTCAGTTCCAGCACCAATTACACATGCACCTGCAAAAATCTAACCTGTGCTTTCCTTGTAAATTGTGAAGATGCACTTTTCAAAATAACAGTGATCTCATTACACCTGTTAGGAGAGTGGCACAAGTGCTCATATCAAGATGGAATATTATCAGAAGTTTGCTATTAAAAGCAAAATCTTTGAGTAAGAAAAATCTGTTGGACAATACATCATCTGGAAAAAGTCCAAAAGAACTGCCAGTCTGAGATCTCTTCATGTTCCTATGCAGTGCAGATTGAGAATTGGAAGCAGATGTGAAGTCTTAGACAATTGAACTCAATCAGCTGTACATTCTGAGCAATTCAAGACTGTTCCATCTGCTCATATCAACCCTGCTCTTGACAGGCTTTATAAGGACTCTAGTAAAACGTGTATATTAGCCTCATTCCAAGTCCCTATTATCACTTTTGCTCCATACAGAAACCTCCTAAAACAAGAAAGTGATATGCTGGCTGGTAGCCAAGCCATAATGGCTGCAAGTTCAGCAGCGCTCATGTTACAACCAAAATGAGTCAGTACTTGGTAGAAGATATCTAAGAAGCATCTAGATGAAGTAGGAAGTGGTTTCAGAGATAACACACTGCCCTCTGAGTAATTTTTTTTTAACTGTGATTCATGAGATGCAGTACTGAGACTAGAAAAAGGCCTGCTGTTAGGATTTGTTCATGCCCGCGATATAAAGAATCCTTACTCTGAAGGAATTAGTTTGTACATGGGATGAAGTAACAGGTGACTGAAGCAGATAAACAGTGGGAAAGACAAAGACAATTAAACAATTCTAAATAGCATAGTAAGAAGCATGAGCACACACACACAGCCTAACCACTGCTAAGGGATCTATGTTCTGCTGAGAGTCCAACAATGCCCGCTTTGCTGCTTGATGGGGTCATAGAATCACAGAATCATTTATGTTGGAAGAGACATCTTGATCCCTGGTTCAAGCAACATCAGACAGAGCAGGTTGCGCAGGACTGTGTCCAGTCAGGTTTTTAGTGTCTCCACTGATGGAGACTCCACAATCTCTGGGTAACCTGTTTCAGTGTTTGAGCACCCTCATGTTATTATTTGTGTGTGTGTGTGTGTGTGTGTTCAGGTGGAATTTCCTGGGTTTAAGCTATGCCCATTGCCTCTTGTCCTGTCAGCAGGCACTATTAAGAAGAGTCAGGCTCCCTCTTCTTTATTCCCTTCCATCAGATAAGACCCCCCTGAGCCTTCTCTTCTCAAGGCTGAGCAATCCCAAATCTCTCAGTCTCTATTCATATGAAAGATTTGAGTCCCTTAATCATCTTCATGGCCCTTTGTGGTCATGTGGATTGTGTTGGGGAAGGGGTTGGTGGGGGGGAGGAGGGAAGAAAAGAAGTAAAAGATCCCTTGAAATTTTGTTTGCTATGAAGTTTAATATCTTGGCCAAATTACCAACAGAAGAATATGTTCTTCCTTATTTTCATGTGTTAAGCCTATCCATTAATTTTAGAAATCATGTAACATTTACTGAGACCATAGTTTCCCCTCTGAAGGCATTACATCCTTGCCAAAAGTGGATCATTCTCTGTGCCACTCAGAAAATCTAAAAAACGTACCAGAATCTCAAGATACAGAAGGTTCCAAATCAACCTATTAACAAGAGTGGTGATTCCTGGAGATAGCACAGGGCAAAAAACATTCCTACAGTACAATTCCCAAAAGGCACAGATTAGGCAGAATGTATGCTCTAGCCCCAGTCAGCACAAAGTTTTGTGACTGCTCTTCATAGACAAACAGCTCTATCTTTAGAAGAACACAGCTGGATATGAAACTGTCACTAACACAAGCGAGATTTGAGGTATAAACTCAGGCTGTAGGAAGTTTAAGGAGATCCAGACTGCTAAAGAACTGGTTCCAGTTTTAAAATCGGTTCATAGAATGGTTTGAGTTGGAAGGGACC